CATGGGGACTATGAGTAGGGTTCTATGAAAACCTACTCCTTTGTACAGTGTCTACCTGATGACAAAAAGAAAACATGAGATTAGTTTTTATTCATGATCTATACATAAAAAAACCCACAGAACTCTAAAGTCAGCCCCGAGCTAATGACATTATAATTGAGCACATTGCTGAATTAGGCTTCTCCTGCTCTGGGATATAAATTTGTTCAGCAATTCAGCTATAAGGGAGGAAAAATGTGCATAAAATGACTTTATATTCACTATTATACAGTATAGGATGGTTTAGTGTTCAGTCTTTCAGATTTTCTTTCTCCTGGTGTAATGATGTTCTACAGCAGACAAAACCAAAGCTGCCAGTGTTTCATTAGGATAGACAATGGAAAGCAGGGTTACTAAAATACAAACTTATTTTAAAAAAAATATCCATGTCCATGGAAAAAATAGTTGAAAAGTTGCTTCAATTTTAGCATTGGCTTACAGAAACCAAAATATTAGGGACAATGAATTTAATATACTGTAGGCCAGGAAAAGCTGATGTCTGCTTCAGATTAGAAAGCTATTAGATATTTAGCAAAGAATGAGAAGTGGCAACTGCTTTAGACAACCAATTGACAACTCCCACTAGTCAGAAGGTGAATTAATTTCCTAATGGGATTGACATTACTTGGGCAAAATACTACATCTGAGAAGTCAAAATGCCAATATGTTATTATGTAGGAAAGCATTTGTATTACCAAAATCAATCAAATACCCCTAATATTTAAAGTATTTATTTTTTAACATTTCATCTGTCCTATAAAATCTCCAACCCCAGTGTCGTATCCACCTCCACACTTCCCACTAACAGATTCCAGCAGTGACATCCCACAGACTTGGAAGAACTACAGTGACAATATAAGGACCTTACTGTGTCAGTGTGTATGCCTCAGTCATACTCTCCCCAGACACAGGACTGTTGAAAGCTGAATTTATATTAGCCCAATAGTGTCCCTAGAATTTCTTCATGTGTTCCAAGTCAGAAGAGCTGCTAGAAGTTGGTATGTAGCCTCTAACTGAAGACCGGACATGGAGCAAGACCATCCTTTTCCTTTGACCCTGAAAACCAGTAGGTTAAGCACTGCGTGTGTAGACAACTTAGGCAAGCTGGTAGTCCACACATTGAGATTGTAAGTTCTAGAACGAGTATGGATCATTTTCTTTAAAAATATGTGCTTGAAAGTAACTTTTTTCACTTCTTCAAAATAGAAATGTGAAACAGAAATTACCTGTAAGGTGGTTGTGATTAGGAAAAAACAGGATAGACTTCAAGCCATGTCTTCTGGGATTTTATGAAACTTTCCACTAAATTACCAAGTTGCAATTATGTTCGTAGTTATGGGGCCAAAATGCAATCTACAATATCTCAGGGGAACACCAGTACAAATGAAGTCTATCTGGAGAGACCAGACTTTCGTCAAGTGGATGCCAAGATACAGAAGTGCCAGGATTAAGCTAAAACAGACAGTGATCACAAACCAAAGGACGAGATGTCTGGCACAGCTACAGGTCTTTCACAGTGCAGAGTGGAGAATACATGGTCATTTGGTCATTACTTATGAATTTAGGAATTCTATTCTGCAATCTATCCCAAGACCCTAATGAGAGAGAAGGCGGAAACATGTAACTAAAAAACATCAAGTGTACAGTATGAAAAGAACCTCCGTTTTTATCATGGAAATGCAGGCTCGAAGTGAGTCGAGAATATGAGTCATCTGTTTAAGTCAGCATGTACCTTCTTAAAAATGTCTCCCAAAAAATTAAGAGTAGATCTCAATATAGTTACATTTGGAAGGCCTTTTCTATTTCAGAACTGGAACTGCAAACCCTGTCAGAGTCCTGAAATAGTTATAAATAATAATGAAATGAGGCAGGGATGGACAGTGTGTTGTTAATGGAAACAGAGGTACAAAATTATAGACTGATAGTTTGAGCAAGTGATTCAAAAGAAAAAGCAGACAACGGAGACGAACGTGGTCATATTTGGCAATGTCTCTAAAATACGCAAATTCAAAACAATGCCAGCTGTCTGTTACCACCATTACCGCAGGTTTGGTGTGTAAAAGTGTACCTATCTCGAGGAAATCTAATCCCAAAGCCACGTAATCTAGAACTGACCATAAATAATCCCTCTGCTGTCAATCAAAGCCTTCTCTGCATCCAATGAAAGTACAGAATGCAGGACAGCTGAACATTATTAGATAGGCCTTAATAAAGTCTGTCTGATCATGGTCATACAGACTTCCAACTGGCTATTAAATTGCTGAGTCAACTGCCGTTGAAGTAACAATTCTGCTTACATCTACATATAAGATATTCAACCTGATGTTTACAGAGAAAATTTGATTATTTTCTAATAAGGTTGAAAATGTGACTGTAACTTATTTTTATAAAATCCAATCTGGTTACCAATTCAGTAATAGAGTAATTGTGGGGTATTAAAATACCAAAGTGGGGGGAGGGGCACATACTGTTAATACTCAGCAGTTAGTAGAAATCTGCAGATTTTGGTACTGTGATCTGATACTAACATGGGTAATATCTTGGCATTTTGTAGTGCAGACAAATGGGACTGAGAAGTAAAATCCAAGTCCAAGTCCAAGCTATGCCTACAAAATTAAATTCTTTAGGCAGGTGATAAAAAACAGACATATATCTACCTCACCCAGATCAGACATACATTTTCTCTGTTGTAGATGCCAGAGACCGGGCACACGGCCTCTTTCAGCTTTTATCTGTGAAGTATATGATTCATGGCTGCATTCAGATCTGCACCCACAATCACATCAGACTCAACGGGTTCCAGCAGGTATTTGGTTAGGAGATTAAAAGAAAATCTATAGTGTCTCACCCACTGATCCCTATACGGAAATTCAAAACTCCCTACATAATATTATTAAAGCTACCTTTGTTTTTTTTCTCTGAGGAAATGAAATAGAAGTTGTCACATTGCAATACTAGCAAATTCTACAAACATCTTGTTTCATATGAGATTCCTGTGTCATAGAATCATCTATTTTTCCCCTTCAAGGCAAATTTAATAGCCAGTTCATAGAAGAATTTCAGAATTTTTAAAAGATTCCGCATACGTGTATGTAGTCAGTAATGACAACAGAATGCAACATAAATTTAACAACATGCAGAGCTGTTACAAAGTAATGTCACAGAAGATATTAGTTGTTATTCCATCCAAAATGACAAGGTAAGACCTTCAGATCTGATGAACTTCTGTGTTTCCAACACTGAAATATACTGTATAAATACTGCACACCAGCACATAGAACACTGAACACCGCAGGCAATTAAAAAAAGTACTGGACACCACACTCCCTCAGCAGATCAAACAGACAGCTGCTTTTGAAATAAAATGGCACTGTCAGGTAGCTTTACAAAAGCTGGAAACTATACAGTGAACTGTTTTTCTAAGAATCCAGCAGAATCACATAGCACAGTTCCCTTTAGTAGATCCCCTATTAGAATGATGTAACAAAAGGAATGGTTTTTTAGCTCAACCAGCTTGCATTTCATTTCAAACCCTCCAGTGTTCAGTGCCTCAACATTAAGTGCCCTTGTTCACTGGTGTCAAGATCAATTGCTGAATGGTAGTCATCTGATAGTGAAGTCTGCACTTGATCACTGAAGTCACAAACTCTGACTCTTCAACAAATAGCTCCATTGGATCAGTGAGCAGATCAGCCCGGCAAAAATTCCCAGGTGTAGAAATGGGTATAACTCTAAATTAGTTTGAAAAAATGAATTGGCCAAATTAATAATAATAAAAGACAGGGAGACTCCACAATTAATTAAATGGGCTGGCAGACCTCTGTAGCTTTAACTCCTCTCTGCCACCCCAGTATACTGGGCACATGATCTCCCTTAGGTAGAATATGTCTCACTTCTAAGTCTTATGGGGCGGCAGCAGGACTCTTATGATTGCCAACCCTTTGCTCAACACTTAATTTGCAACCACCCACAGGTTAATCTGTGCTCTTTTTAAAAAAAAACAACATAAGCAGATGCGGTTGTCTACATTATTCCAAAGGATTGTTACTCATAAACACATTAACATTCCTGCCATTGCATTTTTCTTTGTTTGTTTGTTTTTTACATAAACACACATTGAAACATAACTTTCATAATCAGAAGGAATCTGGAGCCTCAGTGGAGTCACACTTGGAGAAAGCATGATTATATATTTACTTATTTGTAACGTAGTGTGTAAGGCTCTAGTCTCACGACTAGAACCCACATATTGACTGTGGGTTCAATCTGTTTTCCACTGCAGAGTGAACTGCATTACCCTGATTGCTCCACTTCACCCAGCTGTATGAATGCAGACCAGTGTCTACTGAGGAAGGACCCTGCGATGGACTAGTTCCTCATCCAGGGGGGAGATACATGCTCTCTCTTTGCTTCACCACGGAAAACAGGATAAACTCCAGACGGATGGACCATCGTGGCTTAAATACAGAATTGCCTACATACCTAAGTACTGAAGGAAAAGTGCCGGACATCCTGATAATGTACTGTATAGTACCACGTTAACGTAAAGCTCCTCGTTAAAAAACGAAAATCTTTGAAAATGCTGACCATTAATTATTGAAATAATACACATTGCACAAAAGCCTTGTAAGAATCACCATGTCCATATCTGAAACTCCACTGTCTGACAAAAGAAAATGATAATTTTAGCAACATCACCACGCTGATTTCTTTGTCCTTCACAGTTAATGAGTGATTCTGCTCTGATTAAGCTAGCGTATACTGAACAATTAAAAGAGCTGACAAACATGAAGGCTTGGATGCTTGGGGTTCTTATCACATGTGCGACATTTAAGAGCACACAGACTGCATAGTTCTAAAGGGTATTCATTGGGACTAGAGAGCAATTAAGACAACATGATGTGGCTCAGTGCTCATAGGGTTTCAACACAATCTCTTCCACTTCTAGGGTCAGTGCTTACCTGGTTTCGGAGGACATGCTGTGCACTTGTTCAGCCCCCATGATGCTCCAACACTGCCACAGCAATCATCTTGTTTAGTCAGACCAGGAAGGGGTTTACCACACTGCAATATAAACAGAGCAGTACCGAGAGGAATTACTGGAAGATCGTAATGACAAAACTCACTCCTTTGGGTTCCAAATCACAAGACAGAACTACATTACAATCCGTTTTAATAAAATATAATTGCCAATATCCTCAACGAGACAGGTGAACTAAAAATGGATAAATGTATATTTGATGTAAACATTTATCTTAACTGTTAATATGATTTTGAAAAATGTCTCACTCACTGTAGAGACCATATTACCAAGTTTTTAATACACCATACTTGCTTAAAAGAATTGTCTTTTTGGGTGGGAAAACTAAAGATTTAACTCCACAGCAGCCATCATTACCTTCAAAGAACAACAATTCATGACATAAGTCAAGCCTATTATAGCAAATGTGCTTAGTTGCTAGCTTTAAAACTAGTCAGGAAAAAACATCTGACAGTGTTTAGGTGGGGCAAACCTTTTTACAAAATACGTTCAAAACAAATTGCTTCCTTTTAAACATTTTGGCTAATTTCTATGGAAAAAAATATTCTTCTGCAGAATTCCATAGTAACACGTAAACTTTCAAAAGAATACCACAGATGACAAATTTCCTTCAGATTCATTGCTGAATCATGACATGATTGTAAACACTCAAGTGAACTAGCAAAATACACTTCAAGTCTGCTGCTCAGACTTTTGTATTTATTCAATGTTTTCAGGCAAAATTGTGCAGGCAAAAAAAAATAATTCTGTCAGTTCTCAAAACGAAGGTTCAGGCTGAAGATGATCTGCTAGTCTTTACTATAAAAAAAAAATCCCAAAACCAGACAAGAAAGAAATCCTTTCAGCACAAACAAAAAAAACACTCGACTTTTCATCCAGCAGATAACCCTGGAAATATTGGAATAATAGTTTGGGAAATCAGGAGTCGCAACTGGAAAGAAAATATAGAAATAGGGAAGAAATCCAGACAGACAGACATGCTCATGGATGCTACAATATGTGAAGGTGAAGTTAAAAAATTCTTCACAAACAATTACCCTAACGAGTACAGATGTACAGCTTTGGGGACTTTAAGGTATTGTGAAGTACAGTATATTACGAAGAAGACCAAATACATTTCAAAAGAGAACTAAAGCATGTACAAGACAATCCCACAAGCACTAAAACTAAGATTCTAAGGATGTTCTGAGTGTTAGGGTTATTTTAATTACAAACTCTTGTTATCACCATTACCCCCAACACTTTCTGTTCTAGAAGTAACAAGAGATGCCCAAACACTTTAAAACTACTAAAAAAAATAAATCTTACTTTTAAAGCCTTCCTCTCATCTGTACATGACCACAGGTAGAATGAAGTTTACAAAGGTTAGAAAGGTAAAATTCCACTTCTAATGTCCACCAAGAGTAGACACACATTTAAGTCAGATATCACAATAGCATTTGCATTTACACATAATTGTGTAGTATGTGAACTGTAACCAGTCTTTGGAAGAACAAACAGCACTTCAAACAAACAACCTTTCAGTGCACTGCATAAACTGTACAATGTACTGTATGTTAGTAATAGTTTTTAATGACAGTGCACAGTAATTACATATTTATCTGATTAATGTGACTTAGAAAGAGCATGAGATTTAGAAAGTAACTACAGCTCAAGCAATCTTTACAAACTACAGACATCTCAGAAGCTGCAGAAATAAGTATTAGCTTCCTGTATTTTCTAATTTGTTAATCCACCTGACTTCTATTTTTGGAGTTAATATGTTTGGCAGAAGGATCAACCCCAATTCCCAAACATTGTCAGCTCTCTAGAGAATACAAGAGCTCTAGAACACTATAATTTATTGCTATGTCCCCTCCACACTGACTAACAAGAAAATCACAGATATGGACTGCTTTATAATGCTACCTGAGGTCTGGGAATACTAATTTTGCTCGTCTGTTCTCCTACAGTATGTATGAATACTCACTGGCCCTGCACAGCTCTTAATTCCCTCTATTGGTCCATTTCACCACTATTAGAATTTGACGGAACTACTGAAGCAACTTAAGGTGCCTAATGCAAAGAAGTCACTATCTGAACTACGTACACTCTCAAAAGATTTTCTGTACAAACCTGCCCATCGATGGTCTCCTGGAAACACCTTCCCACATGTCCATTCAGCCTGTTATGGAGCCTGGAATGCACATCGCCGTTCCCAGAGGTCGATCCGTGCTGTCGGCTGCTCCCATGGCCGTCGCCTGCCTGTGATCGCTGCTGCACGGATCGCACTGACTGCCACCCATTGATGCTGTTCTGTTCAGACCCAGGGGACACCTGGTCAGGTTTCACCCGTGCCACTTGGTGTATCTGGACCTCAGCTTCAGGGGGATGCTGGATGTGCACGTTCACGAGAGATGGGTGCATGGAAGCTGTAGGACCCAGAGATTAGAGTAAACTACAGTAGCTAGCTTGTTGGTGCTAGGGGGCCATTATTGAATACAACATTCCAATGTAACGTGCAACTAATACGAAACAAACAGTTAAAATACATGTAGTTAACCTCTACAGAGTAAGAGCCCAACCTCATGCTTTTCATAATATATACTGTATATATGCTGCAAATTTAGCTTGACACTATCCTGAAAAATAAAGCTTTTTTTCATTACTGCCATTTACAGCTTAAATGACAGTAATGAGCCACATTCTAAACCTGCTAAGCCCATATAGGAAGCTGGATGTTTCTTCTGTGATGTATAGTAACTCTATGCAGATGTTATCCTGTGTCCTCTAAGGCAGACATACAGTATTAAAAAGCAAATAGGGTAAAGAAATGTAGGAATGTTAAGGATGCTGCAACATCTGAGCTGACTTCTGCTTTCACTTACAGTACCTCATGACAAAGAAACCCAGAAGACAAAAATAAAACAAACTACTGAGTCTTAATGCCCAGTATTTATAGCACTGGTTAAATGTATTTCACTGTTTCTAATCAAACTTCTGTTCTTCAGCTGATGGAATGAAGGGTCAGTCTGTGAACAATATGAGGAATTCAGAAACTTTCAGCCTGCCTGATCCACAATGGAAAGCAAGTTCAGACCTCCGGCTTGAGGTGTTTGGTTCACTAGCAGGCTCATAGGAAGTTAATGTACAGTATTTTGTATTTTATACTTAAAATCAGTGTAAAATAAAGCTGGGTGCAATGAAATCATGGTAAAACTCATGGTAAAGCACAAAACAGTATACTGTAGAAAGATACAATAAACCTCATGGGAATCCTCACACTCCCACACCTGGGGAGTCGGGAAAATGCTCGGTGTATGAAAACGAAAATAATAATTTTATACGCAATTGTATAAAAAACGTGAAGACGACTGACAGGGCACATTTAAAAGAACCACAGAAACAGTTAATATGGCATGCATTGGGGATGAAGGCATGGAGTCCATCAGAGGTAAAAGAGATTCCTTCCTTCCTTGAAGAATCTAGCCCAGTAAAGTAAGACCAACTTTTTAACAAATTGCTTCTTCTTCTTTGACCTGCAGTTTTACAAAAACATTTTAGAGGAAATTTGTGGTGGCAGGGGGGTTTGGTTCTTTTTTTAGTGAGACAAATAATAGCAGAAAAAAATATTTTTGTTTTAAAAAGGAACAAGACTGTTACATGTATTCCCAGCACACGGTTACCTAGCTGGTTGGACAGTGGCAGAGTGTACATAGTGTGTGATGAATTGCGGCCTGAGTGCCCAGACTCCTTCCTGGCAGTGCTGTGTTTCCCAGGAGGTGGGGCAGGAAGGTGACAGAATTTCCCTGTGGAGTTTGATGGGCACCAGCACTGGTCTCTTCCAATACAGTGTCCACCACTCATGCAGGGAATCTGGCAGAAATCTACGAGGAAATTGAAGAAAAGTCATCAACAGGAAGACAGGAAGGGACTATGCTTCATTTCCTAAATACTCTGAATGTTAATTTGCTTGATTTACACACCTACACATTTGCAGGCAGTACTTACTGCCTGGAAAACTAATGAGAAGCAAAGAAAAATCACACAACCGCGATGCAATGAATGTTTTATGTCAAACCACTTGTTTCTGAGATGCACTCTGACCCTGTTTTCTGGACCCTACAGTACGTCTCCAAATCAAATGCAACCCGATTCTTTTTAAAAACATTTTAAAACATTTAAAAAAAAATTAATGAAGCCTGAACTTTGCCCTGCAGGCACAATCTGTAACACTGCCATTCCAATTAGAAAGAATTAAATTCAGACTTTAGTAAATGTTTGTCTAGGGTTCTGTTATTGTAAGAGTAAGGGTCAGAAATGTGCAACAATTATAAATAGCAACAAATGATCTAAATATCACATCTGTGAAAATAACTCGTCTTTCTTTCTGATGTTCATACCCATAGAATAAGTCCTAAGGTAAACTGACATATTGTTGGACTGTACAGCAGTAACACAAACGTGCTTATGACTCCATCAATAAGAAAGAAAGAGTTGGGAAACTAATACATAACTAATGCAAGAAAGTGTATTCTTCTTCCAGCTTCAAAGAGATGTTAAAAAACAGAAAATTCACGAAAATGAAAACTCTTTTAATTCAATTACTCGGCAATCACAATGCCAAACATTTAGAGCAGTTGCCTTGTCCCCATTTAATTGCATGTACAGTACTGTAAATTTGTCAAGACATCAGTCTGGAAAAACAGACACATTGGAATATGAACTTGGGACAGTCGCCTGAGAGTGACACCATAAAAGAAGCCATTTAGTTATTAGTATATAATTGACCCAATCAGATGTTTTTAGAAAGAGGCATTTTTGCAAAGAACTGCCTCCTGTTCTCAGTTTTAGATGTGCTTCTCCATAGTTGTAACTTCTATACCCAGGCTCGTGCTTCACCAGTGATTCACCATTGAGTCCATGAGATTAACTTTGTCAGTGCCATTGAGGATAATGAATACTTGAACGAGGCCCCCTTGTAGTCTTCTCTGTTGAAGGTTAAAAAAAACCCCAGTCCTTCTAACCTTTAGACATTCTTTGAATCAAGGAAAATATCTGGTCCCTTGTCTCTGGAATGATTCCAGAGCCCTGATATCTTCATTGCAAATGGGTGACAAAAATCATATAAAGCCATTTAAATTAGGTCTTAGTAGAGCATTGTACAAATTTAACATGACAGCTTTTGGCTCTTTTAACAAAATACTGTATGTCTTTTGCTCTAAAGATGCACGCAAGTATTTCAAGACTTTGTTCACATGAAATCTTCAACTTGAGATTTAAAATCTGATACACATCACATGATCACATAACACAGAATGGAAAGATCAGGGCAATTTATCACATTTTATAGGATCTCCAAGGATTTTTTGCAGCAGACGGTGGTATCTTAAAAAATGTCTTGTCTCACTGTAAAATTCTGGCACTGTGGTCATTTTGTGATTTAAATGGTGTTCTGAAAATCCATAAAAGGCCATTTCAACAAATCATCAATGCTATACATCACATTTTAATTCTGGTAACTGAATCTTAAAATAATTGTTGAGCTTTGTGAAGGGTATCAGATGTTAAATCAAATGTTCTCTCATGAATAAAGCCTAAAAAAACTTGAGTGAAACACCAAGTTGTTAACCTCAGTCTTTAACATGAAGTTCTTTTCTCATATAAGGACATTGTGCAGGAGAAATGAATACATGGCATTGATTTATAATACAGCTATGATAAATTAATTGCAAAACGAAATAAAATCGTGACACAGGAAGTCAGAAGGACATTCTAAAACTACTTTGCTTAACATTCCAATGTAATTATCTAACAGTTTATAAAGCAAATCCATGACAATGCAGGGTACACAGAAATTTATGTGGAGAGATGTTTGTGGGTTGTGGGAACAACTGCATGAGCTTTCTCAACTGCAGCAGTAATTACTCCAATGAGGCATCACTACATTGAAAGACTTTCACTGCAGACATGCCTTCAAGCCAGAAGTCTATATTTCCTTACTGCACAAACCCCTTTATCTTCTGACAGAGTTCATAATTTGATTTACTGCTAAACATTTTAAAGAAAAAAACGCCAGAAGTGGTCAAGATCTAAAAAAAATAGAACAGGTGGTTCTTGAGAGAATGCCTGCAGAGTTCTTTCAAAGTAAAGAACATTTGCCAACGAAGCTTATATTCTACATACCTCAAAAGAAGACCTGTAAATTATTTCAAACCTAAGCTGTTCTGAATAAAGTTTCAAAGCTAGGGATATAAAAAATGCAATCAGGCCTCCGGTTAGGATGTGGACTAGAATGGCACTGTCATACAGAAAGTCTCCCAACGAGTTTGTAATACAGACCCGAAAACATTTTTTTTCTTCAAGTTTTCTAAAAAGAAAAGCAATCAGCCCTGAACAACAACAACGTTTTTATACGAAAGACTCTTCATTAAAGCTACAGGCTCATATGAAATGTTTTATCAAAGGCAGAAAATGTTGCTTTGCGTTTGTCAATAAGGAGCATCAGAAAATGTACTGTTGAATAGAATGGAGAAAAAGGCTGCACCTGATCAGGTAACATTCCTATAAATTCCTTTGCTGTATTGATGTATGGATCATGCAAGGAAAGGAAATACCGGCAAAGCACCATAGAAATGTGTGGAATGAGAATTCTGTCAGACACCATTAGTTCTATAGCTCCCTCAGCCACGCTGTGCGGTTTAGCGCTGCAAGCTATTAGCCACAGTCTTGTTGTCCACAGGTCTCCAGAGACTAGGACAAAACCGCAGTTGGAGCTGAGGACTAGGGTTGTAGGAAGTAACAAACCAATTAGACATACTGGTTAAATTATAACTACAAAACTAGAATATATATATTTTTATTTTCTATTGTTATGGGCCCCTAGTTCCAGTGTTTTTTTTTATTATTCACTGGTTTTGTGAGCCAAATCATTATTTTGCAAATATGAAACAATTTTACTCTGACCTGCGTGTTTCAGTATATGCAGAAACCAGAGTACAAGAGTAATAACCCTAAAATGTGGTGCATAGAAACTCCTGATCTTAGTGGAAAAATGTACTCTCTATATACAGTATATGAACTCAAATGGTTTTGTGCATGGTGTAAATTAAATGCGAAATACAATATTATGAATGAACATAGCATGACACTAAAATTACACTATTCTCATTATGAAAGGTAACACATTAACCATTATAATGAGGTTATCACCTGTTGTACACTTGACATTAGCTGAGCAATAGCCACAACTAAACATCTTGGTCTACAATCACCCTTTAACAATATTAAAACATCTCTAGAGAAACCAATTTTTCTGCAATGCATACTGCCTTACAGCTAAAGTGTTGAGTAACAGTATTTGTTTATATACAGCTTCTAAGCGTATCCCAACCAGAATAATAGGGCACCGCCCCCAAGGAATTTAAATATTTACAGCTATCCTATTTAAAAGAAATAGAGTCACAGAGTTACAGTGAAATACAATTCTGTATGCTATCAATATTCCAGAAAGCTTAGAAGTTTTTGTTCCATGTAAACGGTCTCTAGTCACATTATATTCACCATGTTTTGTTAGGTATTGTCACCATCTCTAAGAGGGGATTTTCCTCATGCTTGTGAAAAAATCCAAGGATAAATCCTTAATTGAATACAATCGCTGTAAATCCTTGTTCACAGTGCAGCCCCTTCTCTTTTTCTAAAGCATCCGAAACGGTCAATCAGGGTAAGTGAAAGGGTAGTGTCAATGACCACAAGACAGGGGTAAGAGCTTAGAGCGTGAGAGATCAGGGAAAAAAAACTTCTGAGTGCAGAACTGAATCAGCCCTAAATGGTTCATTAGAAAAAATTCTTTAAAAACGTCCCTCTTTATGGATGCTGCTTCTCCTTTCTAAAAGAAGAAACAGTGGAAGATTTCCTGGCTAATCCAAAATGCAATTATTCTTTACCATTTTGTTAGTTCTTTCAACAAGGTATTAGTTTACCCCCATTCAAATACCCAGAGGCTTAGTGAGAGATTGTATCACTGCACTTTTTTTTTTCGTAAAGCATTACGATTACTATTTAAACTATTTAAACAGGCACAGAGGATGACAAATTTGCTGGGCAGTGTGTTTCTGTTGGAGGCTTTTACAAAAAAAGCAATAAACTTAACAAGACAAAACAAAGTGCAAAACTAAAATAAAAATGCTTAAATACTTACACATGCGGAATCCAGACTTGGACACCTGGCTCTGCGTATTCTCACTGTAAATAGTTGTGGTGTCTCCTTTCTCACAGCTATTGAAGCACTGGCCACTCCGACAGACCCTCTTGCAGATCATTGGGGTGAAGACAATCTTGATGCGGTCTATATTCGCCGTCAGGTTGGCTCCTATGAGAAGGAACACCTCCATCACCAAAAAAGAGACTTTTGCTGTAAGCAGCATATTCAGGCAAACTGATGTGAGGCTTACTTCTGTAGAGTGTTGGGGGAAAAAAATAGAGGTTTGTTTGGTACTTGCTGGGTAGCAAGCAATGTAGCTGAGTGATGTCTCACAGGGCTGCTGGCTGTAGGGAGCAGCACAAGTTTACAGCGGGCTGGCTTCCAGGCTGTTATCATAAGGATGAGGTGTACACAGGGAAAGTTGTGTAATGGTGGGAACTCAGTCAATTCACATTGCACTGGAAAATCTTGAACATTGGACAGATCTTATTTATGGAAATTAATAAAAGAAGAATTAACACTAGTTGGCAATTAAGCCAATTATCAAATTACCAGCATTATGGGGTTATTTCTCTTTCTCTAGGGTAAGCAAAATTCTACAACATGAAGTCTTTGGGAGGCCGGAGAGATTGGTGGCAAGCCTGATACTTTGTGAGACTTGGTCCAAGGTGAAAAATCACAAGAGGAGCCTGTCCTATTCAGATGCAAGCCTTTGCTCAGTTTTTAAGCAGCCCCTCTAAGACATTGTTGTTAACTCTCCAGGCTTTTAGCTTCAGATAACAAACGGCTGTCGCTCTTGTTATAAAAAAACTCCACTGTGGGCTGACGGCTTGGGACAAGGCCAGATTTAACTTTTTATCTAATGTTCCATTCACTGGAGACCTTCTCTGTGTCTAGAAATGCCACACAGCTCTTACTCTTGCTCAGTGATACCTGTGAATAAGAGACTTGGAAAACAGAGAAGAGAGTATGTTGATCAGATCAAAGTGATGAATGAAAGGTTTGGATTCTTTTTATTCCAGTTCCCCAAAAGTGTTTCTTTTTTTTTCCAAAAAGGGTTTTTGAACAAAACCCCTCAGGATGTGTCTGTTGGCCTGTTCTTAAAGAGATGAAAGATGGAAACAGAAAGCAATACGGTAGTTTTTTTACTACCACCCCCCCACCACCACCACCACCACCACCCACACACACACAAAAGAAAATAATCCTTCAGATTTGGAAATGTGACTATAAAACAAGAACAAGAGCAAAGAAAACCACAAAACAAAATTGTAGCACAGCTGGCCTATTCAGCCTTAAATATATTTTAGCATTGTTAGTACTGTTGTGATACAGCGTATACCTAGACAGCACTAGAAGACTTGAATGAGCAATTTCAACTACAGGTAGAACTCACTGTCCATTAAAGTCTCTTGGCTGAAACACAGGATTCAGACCTGTAGTACCTTTGGGATCCACAGCGGAATTAAAGCTCTGTGGGGTGGATGCTGGCTGCTGGCTGACGTGGAGCTGTCCATTCCCATTGGGCAGAGCATTGGATGTGATCTGCCCGTTGGGCGATGGGTAACGTTTGACTGTTCGGGATGTCCCCGTCTGATGAGAGGAAGACTCTGCGTGCCCTGGTCTGATCTGTGTGCTGTGAATACAACAAGAAGAGACTGAAACACTTAGCCAAGACACCACTCCGTTCCAATAACGGCCTTGTCCTATAGGATGTGGCAAAACATTCCTTGTATCATATCTTCAGATAGGATAGTGTTGAAGATGAATGACGAACACTAATTACCATATCCCGCAGTTATGGATGTTTGCCGGTTATGCCTTCTGGCATATAGGGGCAGCAACATCCTGTTGCTCTTTCCATAACATTCGTTTTTTACGGGACCAGGGCTGTTAGCCTTGTGCCCAACCTCCAACATGGAGAACCTGGCACCCGACATGGGACACAAACCCACTCCTGACCAACCTAGACCACAGGTACAGTACCTGTATATGACACAGCATTTAATTGAAATGTTCCATAAAAAAACAACTGGTTGCTTATTGAAAACCTCATCACAGATTGCATTGTTTGCATTACTGAATTTACTAGAGCATACCATCCTGAGGGGACCTCTTTATCTCTGTGCAGCATGCTCGATTACCTTGCACTAAACCGCAGCCGATATGAAAAGTTGTTCTGATCTCTAGTAATTAACAAAGCTGAAAAAAATATGTCTGCTGCATACTTCTGAGTCTCACAGCATTTAATACTTGAATTTGGCACTTTAGCCCTCTGTCAGAGGTTTTAGATTAAACAAAGCAAACACCCAGCAGCATTTTGAAGTGTGGCACAAAAAATTATCTTCAACTCAGACTTGTGTCAACAAACTTCCTGAAGAGTAGATTGCTTTGTTTTATATTCAGTACTTCAGATCCCCATGCTTGTTTGAACTAACCTGTACTTTTAATTCATTCTATTTGAAAGTGACTTTGGGAGGCACAACCTCTGTTTTTAATGTAATATATGGCTATAAGAAGTACAGAAAAATTTGGTTTTCATACCAACATCACTGTTCTGAGGCTAATTGCACAACTGCAGTCCATAAACCTTTGCTTTTCCCTAATTACTGGCACAGCCACACGGGGGAAGTTAGATCATGCAGAAGCAAGACCATGACATTCCAACATAAGAGAGTCTCACAGACACCTGAGCAGGAATGTGTTCTAAAGGAAAGAATTGTGTGCAGAAACCTGAGTAAATAATTACTTCAATCTGCAGGTGTAGGGCTTCCACTGGACTGACAGCCTGATTTACCATTTAGATTATTACATTTATGACAAAGAGCTGGATCTCACTGATTTACAGTAAAATAACAGTGGATAAATGCACAGCGGCTAGCATACAGCCAGAACAAAGGATTCTTCTATAGCCAAATCTTTCCCAAATTACCCCAGCAGGTTGCCGAAGTGTAGCATTTGAGGGCACACTGACACAGCCTAATAAATTTGATAATCAGTAATCCCAAAGGGTTTATTTTTATTTCTCTGGAGGTTTTCCCTGGGCTATTTCCACTAGCCCTTTCCCAGTTCTCCTCTTTTCATTTTCTTCAGTTCTGGCCACTGATGGTTGCATGCTTTCCAATAAACATTTTAAGCTGCAGCAAAGCCAGACTGGTGCTACATTGTGAGGGTCGGTGACACACGGAATAGGCCATAGAATACAAATCCAAGACAAGGGAAAGAAATGTAATGTACCTGATTGACCACATTTGCCTTTTTATTTTTTCTAGCATTAATGCAGAACTATTCTTGGATCCTTCAATTTATGGGTACTTAAACGAAATAAAAACATTACATTCTTAATTAAGACTTTTAAATGTTCACTGCCGCCAGTGACACCAGACAACGAAAATGAGACTTCATGTTATGCACCCAACCTGGATTACACAGAAGTTGTAGTGACCAGTGAACCTAACCTTTTACCAGGCCGCCCACCCTGTAATCCTGCGCGAGCTGTCATCCTGGGCTAGACCAGATGTTTTATTTACTATTGAAATATTTCCTTGAGAATGAGGTAACCAGTCCGGCTTCTATATTTGGATTTGGGATGCATTCTCATTGTTTGATCTCATCTGTACTTCAAGGCTCAATGAATTAACACTGAAGGGATCTCCAGCCATATTCTGGGTGAACAAAAAGTAACTGGAAGGGCTTGCCAAAACACAATACAATATAAGGAAAATATGTCCTCATTATCAAATTATAGCAAGCTATTTTCGTTAAAAAATTTTTATCTGACATATGACAGAAAAGCACACTACGAACCATTAACAAATTTACTGTAGAATGTCTTGGATTACCAACTACAATAATTTTCTCTTTTTATTATAATATTAAATTTGCTATTTCTCTCTCATAAAACCTACCCTCACCCCTCAAGAATGCAGTAAGAGATTAAATCAAACATAAACCTCAAAGAACACAACTTAATAATATTGGAATCTATCATAATAGAGGAAAACAGGCACACCCTGCAGCATTATAAGGTAATGTGACAGTGGCACCAAAAACTACACATTGTCTACATTAAAGAGAAGGAACCTGAGGGGACAAATGAAGTAAAAATGATATTCAGTGGTGTTGTATCAGCACTGGAGGAAATGAGGATGTAAAAAATTTGGGGTTTTCTCAGCATCGCTAGTTTGCAGCTAAAAAATCTCAGTGTAGAGTCACATATTTTGTTTAATAGGTTGGTAATTTATAAATTTATGTTTTTAAATTATACTGCTGTGTTATTTTTATTTTTACTGACCTGAAGCGTACTTTCTCCTAATTAAAGGTCACATAAGCACTATATTTAAATTAAAACATAGTGTCTCATCTTGAAAATTAGACTGCTCATTGTATAATAACTATTTTGTATAACGTTTCTATGGCCAAGGCTATTCGCACACATGAAGGACTACGTCTTAATGAGATTGGCACTAATCCATTGAAACTAGACTGGAAGTGGGGAGAATCCATAGAACTTCTACAAAGGAGATGCACAAAGGAACAGAACCCCACTGAAAACAAAATGTCAAAGGACCATGTTATTAAATTATTATACCTCAATACCAGGGATATGACAAATATGAAGAGATTAGCATGCAATTGTAATGTAACTGGAATGGCTGAAACATTGGTTTCATAACCAGCAACCTGCTCTTGTATTATTGCTGCACTATCTAGTGCATCTGTTTTCCCACTATTTAAATTATATTTCCACTCTATCTTCCTTGATGGGGGCTACTGGCAAGAAAATAATAAGGAAAAACAATGACAACTATTCTTCACAGGTTTGGAATAAAACAGTTACATGCGATTGCATCTTGGATTCAAATTTACAGTATAAAAGTCTTGTTTTTGTTTTCTAAAAAAGGTACCCCAGTTTGGCCTCTTCTGAATAAAATAATGCATCTTTCTTAGGTATCAGTATAACCTTTCAAAACCCAGGTAGAAACTTGTGGCAATGTTACGACATCAATAAATCAGCTCCATAGAAGTGCTTTTGACAGATTATTTCAGTCATAACTGTACACAGCTGGATATTCAGGCGAAAGGGGAGTGTTTTCATTGCAGCTGTTGGAAGCTCAAGTCTTTAGAGACCGAAAGGCAAGGACATTGCCCTGCGGACAGGCAGTATTTATAAACCAGGTTTAAAGTTTTTTTTTACTCTGCTAACAGTTTCACATCACACTCTGACCAATTTATTCCTTTATGCCCAGAAACTAGTGTTCTGAAATTGAGAAGGGTTCATACTCCCTCCAAGTCCTCCATATAGCACAACAGATTGTTGTTTTCACTTTCATTTAAATCAAGTCGCATTAATATTCTGTAACAACTCTAGCGGTGAATTCTCCTTTTCATCATCACATTTTGCAGAAAGTTATTATGATTATTTGATATTGGCATTAAAAGCAAGCTCACTTTCTCACTTTGGGTGTAGGAAAAAGCTGACAGCTCAATTTACTGTATTTCTTTAGGAGAGAATTTTGTGGGACTTTTCAATTGATTCTGTTAAGTTCTCCTCTATTTACTGTGTTGTTTACCCATGATGTGTAGGCTTTATAGTCATGTTTGTAGATATCTGTCCATATCATAGCATTTTTGTTAATATTAATGGGGTTGGAGGGGGCAGCTGGACTGAAGATTACTAGACTCAGTTATATGCAGCGGGTACATTCCTTCTCACCTGACCCACAAGCAGTTCTCTAGGGGAAGAAAATGAGTCTGATTTGAGTTTATATTGTTACAAATCAACTGTAAAAAATCAACACTCTTCCCCATGGTACAGCACTTAAACACACAAGACATTCCCATTCTGAACACCTGCTCGACAGGAGGAATTAACATAGATAACAGAGTTTAATTTTAAGATAGAAGGCAAGGTTGCATGAGTAACGTTTTTCAGATATCTGGCACACAATTTGAAAATTAAACCCATTTTGGAAATCAAATTAGTAACTAATATGAATAACAGCCTGGAGGAAAGGACTTGCAATTGTTCCAATACATTACATAGTATGGTTATTTTGGCACAGGCCATGATATTTCCTAAAACAAGGTGAATCTCTGCATTGCATCATGCAAATGATCTTTCTCATAAAACATAATTGGCATTTATTACAGGAAGCCTCTTAGTAGAGCTAGTTTTCCAGTACCAGAGCAGGGTCTTATTCAGTGAACCACAGCAGTGATTGATCTCAATACCCCTTGGTGCTCCTATCATTCATGTATGACCCCTTAGTTTGCTTTGACATTAAGCATAAACCTAGACTTCCTTTTAAACAGAGACTAATTGTCAAGAAATGTTACAGCAATGCTGTTTGAAAGGCCAAGAACAATTGTAATTGATCTACTGACATAACAGCAAATAAATACAGGACATTCCTTAGGGGAGAAACAAAGTGAAATCTAAATTTTGCCTAGTTCTGTGCCCAAACCATTTGTCATCCTTAGAGCATGCATGACCTTAGCTCACAGGACACCACGGATAACCACAACATATTTTTGAACCGACTTATATTCACAATTGGCAGGACAAGGAAACCAGCTTGTCACAAAGTAACAGAGCAGTTATCCAATTATTTGGTGAAAGGGAGCTAGACGAAA